GACAGCACATTCAGCCTGATCAGATCTTGAATCGTCGCAAACTTCCACTCCGCCATTTCGAAACCGCTCGCACCAATATTAAATAAAATTGTTATGGGTTATCGATGAGATTTTAGAAATAATGACGACGCCCGTGGATGGTGTCAGTAAATCCCCAAGGACAAAAAGAAATCAACCTTACTTGACGCGTTGGGGAATTTTCATAATCCTTTGCTGAACTGGTGTCCGGTAGTTTGTTTATCAAAAATGTAAAAATGTTGAATCATGAACTTGGGAGATTAATAAACATTATGGAATAATACCATTTGAGTCTATTCAACAGCAGGAAATATAGCGTAACACTAGGCGCCGTTGCTGTTTTACAAGGGAAATTCCCATGGGCACCTTCACTGCAACCACCCTCATGAACGAAGACCTGAGTCATTACTCAATGAAAGTCTTAAACTCCAACTCAGCGTATTGTGCAAAGCGCTCTACCAATCTCATTGAATGTGGCAGCGTGCATGGAAAAACATCTGAGCGCTTTCATAACATTCTATCAAGAGTATGTACTGTGTTATTGCGAGACGATGTTGAACAGGAAATCTCATGTCCAGAAGAGACTTCTCTTCTGGACATGAGCGCCCGTAATTCATGCCCATCGGGGACATGATCATTTAAGATTATAGATTAATCTCGTGCAGGAGAAAATGGTATTATAAACAATATGTTCTACAATGTTACCTCTTAATCGCAGGTGTTCCAAAACATAACCAGCGAGCTACACATCCAGGGGTACTGCGTATTTGCCGTTCATTCAATCCACTTCACATTCTTTACTTGCCATGGAAGGAGCGAAGAGAAAGGAGCACGGGGAAACCTCGACCTCTCTGGTGAGTCTGCGGTGGTTGAAGCGTTTGGAGGCAGAAGCTTTGTGCCTGAAGCTATATGATGTCTATCGATACTCCATGTATTCGAAGCCTCAATTCTTCCATCAGCGACAATGACTTGGAACCACATATATTTATATATCAAAGTTTTTTTCTGGCCTCATTTGCTTTTGATGAAAATCACGCGAGTAAATCAGCTCTTCCACAGAAAAAATTGACTATGGTCATATTTTGATATACGTATTTATATACTATGGTCGCGCCTTCGGCGCTCCATTACCTTGGTTAGTGATTAATTCTTTTTTTTTGCGAACTGGGAAACACGTAAAGTACGTCCCCATTGAAATACGTGACATACGGGGACGAAAGTCTTGTTTTTTTTATGAAAGTCATTACTTCTATGAATATTCTATGATGTTAGTGTGCCTAACTTGAAATATTTTCATGTGTCCCTTTTCATTAAGGGGGGAGAATACATTTTGAAATACTTCCCTCATATAATCTACGCTAAGGGGACATATTTAAATAGTCAGATTTTTCCTGTACTCAGCCATCAAAAAGGTACTTCCGAAAGTAGTTTACATTTTCTGTATGTTTCGTTGAATCAAAATAAAATTCAGGAAAATGGGACTGGAAAAAGTGCCTTGATGGGTCTTAGCAAAAATTTTATATCTTCTGAAATATTGACTCAGGGAACTCCATGCCACCCAGTTTCAGCCTTTTACGTTTACTTTTTTTGCCGGAGGAAAAAAAAATATATTTGGAAAAGCAATCCACCCAAAAGCTGTGCTCTGAGACGCACAACAAAAGTTGAATTTTTCCTTAAATCAAAATCACGTCCGTTATGCTTTGGCCAGCTGCCACGTTTCTATTTCTGCCCAATTCGCTGGGATATTAAACATTTTTTGGAAACGTTACATCCCGAAGATGCCTCCAATAAATATTTGGGAAATTTGACATTTGACATATAAGCTTCACCAGTCAAGTTCTCGCCAAGTTACAGCTTTTCATGTGTCTCCGTTTGATTGAAGCAAAGAGAACTCTTTGAAAATATGTTCCCCGAAAAGGTGTGCCCATATGGCGTGTATTAATAAAGTAGAATTTCTCCTGAACTCAGCATGCGAATAGCTACTTATGTCTGTCAGTCAGCTACTCACGATCGTCTATATATAATAAAGGTAATTTTTTTTCTACTCAGCTATACATCAGGTTCTTCTTTGGCAAGTTTAAAATTTCTAGCGCACTCTGTTTTGCTGGATAGAGAAAATACGCCTTTTGCAGTATATGAGACCTGAGGCGTTTTAACCGAAAAGTACATTTTCTTTTACCGAAATCAATCCTCAGAGAACTACACGCCCACAAAGTTTCAACCTTATACGTTTGCCCTTTTCGCTGGTGCAAAAACATGTTTGGAATAGCCGATGGAAATTTTTTTTTAAACATCGCCCCTCGAAAAATCGGGATGTATCGAGACTGAACATTTTCCTTTAACTCCATATCTCGGGAGTCACATTCATGCAAAGTTTCAGCTTTCCGTGTTCATCAGTTTAACTGATGCAAAAAAATTATTTGAAAACATCCCCCTTTGAAATTTGTGCCCACGGGGCAATGAATTCCAGAGTCTGAATTTTTCTGCATGCAGCATCCCAATAGGTAGTTGTGTACCAAGTTTCATCTTTCAAAACCAGCTCCATACGCCAGGGCAAAAAAAAAATTGCGTGAAAATGTCGGCCCCCTAATAATATGCCCCTACAGGGCATGGATATTAAATTTTACATTCTTCCTGAACTCATCGTCTCGGTAGCCATGTCCATGCGAAGTTTCAGCTTTCCATGCCTCTCCGTTTTACTAAAGCAAAAATATTGTTACGGAAGGGGAATGAGTAACGTAACTTCGAAGGCATAATAGCCGCAAGAAAGCCAAGGAATGGCAGGGAATTAAACCCGGGCTTCCTGATTCCCGGTCAGATATGCTACCAATACACCACGAACACAAGACATCCACTCAAGCCTCTCGATGCCATCCTAATCCGTCACAATTTATATCTTTAATATTTTCTCCCCCCAAAATGTGTACCCTCAAGGCATGTACTTCCCAAGTCGGATTTTTTCTGAACTCTGCATCCCAAAAGGTACATGGGTACCAAAGTTCAGATTTCTAACTTCTCTAGAACATGGGTAGAATTAGCATCAGTCACTATCGTCGATATATATTAGATGTGATATATTTGCAACGTGTCAATAGTGCATATTCAGCAGAACGAAGAGAGAAAATATCCCAGTTTAATACATTTTGAAGCGGTTAATTTCTAGGCAGGGTCATCCTAGATAAATATTTTAAGTTTTGTACGATTGATAATGGAAAGCAACAGAGAAAACTTGAATAACAGGCTACGGAAAATTGAGGCTGCATTTCAAGCAGAACTGCTGAAACCGAATGCATTTTTACAATGTACCTATATGTTTTCATTAAATATAAACTTTTTATTGGCAACTCAGTTTCAAGGCATTTTTTTTTTACAAACAGCGTATGGATTTTTCATGCATTGTGGGATTAACGAAAGTATTAATTTCCCTTGCCAAAAAGCACACATCGGGAAATAATGAATAATACGGCGACCTACCTGGGACTGTAACAAAATGTCAATGTACTTTGAGGACCAACTGTGCGACCTACCTCGGTCGCACAGCCCAATATCAATAGTGCCCAGAGGGTATTATGTAGGAAAGCGATAACTGTTACCTTTTGATACCTAGAAAAAAGTTCTGCTCGGAGGTCTGCAAAAAAAATATTCTTAACACTTTCGTTCCAGAGGGCTTGTGATTGAGGTCTTTTGAGGTCTGACAAGAAAGTAATAACTTTGGAACAGAAAATGAAAGAGGCTTGCACTTTATTGGAAAGTGCAAGTTTCTATCATCGTCTCCTTCACTTGACAGAATGCAAATATTGGTAGGTAAAGTTAATAGGTAACGGTATCAAGACCAGCTCATGTTCATTCAAAGTTAATATCACCACTTTTATTAAGTATGAAACCCTTAAAATCATGTTTCCACGTACGCATACTGGCCAAATAACAGTGACCTCCAGTCAAGCATATGGTGTACCTGTTAACACCGCAGGAATGATATTTCATAACATTGGAACTGACAGACAAATATCGCAGACATATTGACCAGATATTTGGCAGGTCCATTTGTTTTCTAGGATAAACGTTCAGTCAATTTTGTACAACGATTCTTGGGAAATGGTTGGAAAGGCAGTTGAATGAGTACATATAAACCACCATGATCCTGATGTAAGTATTATGTTCAATCGCATGTGAAAATGTCCATGCATTTTATTGTACTAACATGTGGATAGCTTCTAAACAGTTCATTAATACATGTTGCCCATTTCGTTATTGTGTACAATTTTATTAAAGTAATATTCTGGCATGTTGGATAAAATCAATTAAAGAAACAAGACCTACCAGAGAAAGCTTCACATTTGTTGAAGAAGCTCCTACCAGGAAAAGTGGTGAACAAGTTGATTGCTGCACCAAATGGGGTTTTGCTGTAAAAGAAAACAAACTAAAATACGTACTTAACATGGTGAGAAAAGGAAATCCAAAATGTCAAAAATATGTCTTATGGCCTTTGAAACATGCTCTTAGAAGTTTGGGAGAGGGTGATGAAATGACCCCTTGAAATCATGCAACATCTCCCAAATTAGACGAAATATTGTTCATTAACAGTTCATTTTAAAGAGCGAATTCAGAAAATATTATATAATGAAAATGATATTTTTTCTGTAACTCAAAGTTGAAATTTTGCGGGTTTCTTAAATTTTCAAATGTTCAACTCTAAAAGATTCACAATAAGAAACCTTGTAACTACTTCTTCACCGTTGTAGTTATGCGTTGTCAGCATCACACGTCTTCTGTTCTATTCGCTTTCGCACTTTGGGCCTAATATCAGGAAACCGTATTCATATTTTTGCATTAATGAGCCACGTACGAATGCTTGCACCATATATTCATTAAATCAGGATAAGGATCTCCCCACACTATATTCCCTATGATAATTTCCGCGCTTTGCTTTGGGCGATCATGTTCCTTGTTGAACTCTGTTGAAGCATGAAAATGAAAAAAGAATGAGAAGAGAAGAAAACGGGACAGGAGGAGGTGCAGCGCCGGGGGGAGCGGGGGAGGACGGTGGTGGTGGTGGGGGAGATGGTGGTGGTGGAGATGGTGGTGGTGGAGATGGTGGTGGTGGAGATGGTGGTGGTGGAGATGGTGGTGGTGGAGATGGTGGTGGTGGAGATGGTGGTGTTGGAGATGGTGGTGGTGGAGGTGGTGGTGGTGGTGGTGGAGATGGTGGTGGTGGAGATGGTGGTGGTGGAGGTGGTGGTGGAGATGGTGGTGGAGGTGGCGGAAATCCAGGAAATGCAGAGGATTTCATATATGAAGAAGGTACAGTTCTTTTTTCGTTCCCATCCTGTTGGTTTTGTACTATAAGAGATGCAAAATAAGTTCTCGGCCTGACAACCTTGGATTGTTGATATGCCAACGACAGTATCGTGGGCTAGTAGCGCAACAAACGAGCAGTTCCTATAAAAAGTTAAAAGCTTGAAGCTATTTTAATGCAAAAGTAGCAATGATTAATCTTTTTATATGTTCCAATTTTCCTGGGATTTCAAAATTCTGGGTCCCTTTCTGCAGCCAATATTTTTTTCGATGGAAGGCTTGTCGCCACGGATAATTCATTAGCGCCTGCTAAACGTCAGTAAAGATACTTCGTCTTCCTACAACACAGTAAAGTGGACAGCGGAATTTTCAAGAGAGCCATATTCAATCGAATAAGTTGACCATCACCTCGGGGTCAACCTTTGGAGGTGACTAGAATTCCGTCGAAAAGCAGGTAATGCAGGTCAGACAAATCAAAACGAGGGACATAAAGCAAGACTTAAGTATCACAAAGGGCAGTTTTCAAACCATATTGCTCGAAAAGCTGGGACTATGGAATGTTTGTACCAGCTGAGTTCCGCGAATATTGTTCATTCCACACGTGGTGGCATTGATTCAACAGAATAGGTACCGGTTCAACCCTGAACCCCCTGAACCCCTGTTCTGGAGTATTATTAGTGAATAGTTACTAGGGGACAAAACTAGCACACATGGACCTAGAATTCCAGCAGCGGTCGATGCAGTTGAGGCACAGCGACTCTCCGCCTTCGACGATGACTTCGGACTTAGGCCTTGGTGGGCAAAGTCATGGCATCTATTTTCTGGGACACAAAGAGTGTCAATTACATTGACTATATGCCTTCCAACATGATATCGAGCCAATACGATACTCCAATGCTGGAGATATTGATGGAATCCTTGAAGCGGCGCTGAGGAAATTTAAGGATTTTATTCTGCATGAGGATACACCAGCTCAGGTAGCCAATTTTTCACGGGTGAAATATCGGGTAACTGATGCGGGCTTCAATCAATTTGTTGTAAGCACATAATTCAATTAATAAGGCACACAAGTTTTGGACAAGTTTTGTCTCATGAAGGTACACAAATACAAGCAAAGCAGAAAAGTATCCACGGGTTACGTGGATACATCCGTAATCCACGGATTAGGCCTAATCCACGGATTTAGGCCTAATCCGTGGATTAGGCCTAAAGATAAAGCGTCAAGTGGAGGGGAGATGGGTGTGGGTTGAAGAGAGGAAGAAATCTTTGAAAAATGACTTCAACACTAATTCATGACCATCAACCTAGTCTACTGCCTATTTAATTGGATGGCACATCACTTCTGAGTTGCTCTCTGCCTGCCCCCATTTCAGAGATAGTTTTAGGGCACTAAACTGATACTTTACATCTACGGACTCCTTTACTTAACTCCATATTATCACACATACCGAGGTGTATTCCAAAAGTTCGTGTGTTTGTCAGGCCATTTTTTTGCCAGACTGTATACTGCAGCAGTATACTGTGGGCGCCAATATCATCCTCGGTTCCTGGCCTGTCAGCTGTAATGTTTCTGTCATTGAGGAAATGGTTTGCGTACGTTGCAGGGATTTTTATGAGCCTTATTTTGGAGAGTGGCACAAACATTGAACTTCACTCATGACGAACAAAGAGCTGTCATGAAATTTATATTTTCGCGTGGAGAAAAAGCGGTTGAAATTCACCGACAGCTGAGGAAAGTCTGTGGTGATGCTGCACTCGCTCATTGCACCATTTGCATGTGGGTTCGTGAGTTTCTTGAAGGAAGAGATTCCAGTAAGATCAAGGACTTTATTGACTGAATAAAATATTCGTTGTACGCAGATGATGGTTATGGAGGACTTTTACAGATAAGCTCAACACGAGCAAAGTCAGCGCGCGTTAAGCGTCATGCTTGACGACCAGAAGAAATAGGCAGAGCTTAGACATTTGTCGCTCGCTTTTGACAAGACAATGTGGCCGAGTTTTGTGCCATTACCATTGACGAGTCCTGGGTCCCACTCTTCAATCCGGAAACCAAAAATCAATCAAAACATTGGAAACACAACGACTCACCGCCTCAGAAAAAATGCAGACTAGTGGTGTTGAATGACAAAAGTTCTCAACGCAATTTTTAGGGATATGCAAGGGGATTTATCTGATACACCCGGTCCCCAAAGGGCAAACAAGTAATGGCCAATACTACTGGAACCTGCTTTAAAAATAAAAAAAAACTACTTCCTGCTGTCACTGAACTCCGCCTGCAGCTGGCGAAAGGCAAATTCATCCTTCACCAGGACAACGCTCCACTTCACACCGCGCCCTTTTTGACGCAGCTTTTGATGAAAGCGGGAATCGAAACCGTGCCATATCCATCGTATTCACCCGATTTGGCTCCCAGCGACTTTTTGATGTTCAGCAGGCTCAAGGATTCGCTTGGTTGCATCTGTTTTGCATCAAGAGCTGCACTTTCAAGTTCGATTTATCAGTGGGTTAAACGTGCCAGTGAAGTTTCGTTCGTCCAGTGCTAAGAAGACTGAATGAAACGGTGGTGACTGCGGCTCGAGAAGGAGGGAGACAACGTTGAAAAGTAAAACGCGTGGCAAAGATGTCTTTTCGCTTGTGTTTCGTTCACATTAAAACGGTACGAACTTTTGGAACGCACCTCGTATATCACACATATCTTGCTCACTTCGTTCACTGTTTCTTAGCATTCGCGACTTGGATGAAATTCTAAATGTAATTTATTTTCCCTTTGTAGCTGCCCTTCTAGCCAGAGTCGCCTGTTGGACTGGGGAAATCCAAGCGAACATCGACGAAGAAAACGGAAGAGTATTCAGGGAATGGCGACACAATCAATCGCAATTCGACACAGAACGATTTCTTCCTATAGCTACTATCTCTTTTGTCACGGTCATCACTGACACAAGGCCGTATCCGATCAGAGCATTTCTCTTCGATCTTCATGACAAACAAGGACTTGAAGAGGTGCCCTTGAAGCAGTGGATAAACGAAATCGACAGTTCACCTTATAGTAAAATAGAGAGAATTGCGGTGCACAGCAACTACGGCACCCCGTGGCTCCGATTCCCTTGGGACGATATACTCATTCCCAAGGTGTCTATATTTTACAAGGAACGCGATTTCCCACTACCTCACCATTTGAATTTGAACGGTCCAAATGGTTTCACATTCGAAAGCATTGAAAGGGGAAACCTGGCGGAACGGTTCCAGGATGCCATGAACGCTTTAAGAGAGGAAGTGAGAACACGACGCCTCGAACGAGCTCGTGCATTGTATACCTCCTTCCTCTGGAGTGGAGAATATGAGAACAATATCGACCAACAAGACAGGGATATATTGAATAAATACGAAGCACTTGGCATGACGGGGCGTAGTGAATATTGGCCACCCACCGTCGCTATGGCACGTGTGTTCCGTCGTGACGGGGTCGCTACTACCAATGGATTCATTTGTGGGAGCTTTGGCATTTCTGGTGTCCACACCGAAATGCAGATGATAAATTGGGCCAGACAAGATCTTAGGCATCTGCAAGGGGTCATACTTGGAATTACCCTGTATAGCAACAATTCCCCCTGTTTGGACTGTGGTACAATAATGCTTACTGATCAGGCCCAGGGCTCTTTTCCTCTTAATAAGTTGAGCATACAGTATAGGCGATTTTTCAACCATGCAGGAAAAAGGAATCGAACGCAATTAATGATTAGTGAACTGAATGACGAACGTGGGATAAGATGCACTCGGATTGCAAGAAATACTGCAGCTAGTAATGAATACATGGTTCTATTCGTTGACTGTCTGAAGAGGAAAGTGTCAGCAATCACAAAACATGCGAGCCCAAACGTTGTTTACGGAAATACACTCTTATAGAGTCCAGAACGAAATTGGAGGTTTCCCTAGCCTTGGCAATGATCTTCTCCAGTGTTTCAGAGGGTTCAAACAACCAGTGAGCATGCTTACTGTAATTAGATGAAGAGTGAAGTCGAACCCTGGTCACTCCAGTATATCCCCATAAGATACCAGTTCAGCTTCAACTATCCATTAATAGAACAATGAAACAAGGCACACATATTCACACCATTGGGGATAACCTTAGACCCCGACCTGAAATTCACTCACCACGTGTCTCCGTCATAAGCTTTCTTCCAAAATGTTTATGCTCCATATGGCTGAGCACCTACAGCTTTCATCCTATACTTGGGTATTGATCAACAATGCAATAATATACCCTCACATTATCTATGCATTACCTATTTACTCCATTTCTAATTCATAAGCTCTGAACTCTTTATCAGCACAATCTTAACAAATACCTTTGAATTATCCACTCGATATCCAGGCACTATACCTATCCCTTTTTATCCCTATTTCCTAAGCACTCTCTCCCTTTTCACTCATGATGAACATAAGTGCATTGAAGATCTTTCATTCTACCTCACCTCACAACTTATATACAAAATCTCTACTGGAACAGCTCCTAGTTACCATTCGTCATATCTCTCCTAACCAGAAAATACCAAACGTTACCTGCGCTCCTACACATCCATATCACTCATCCCACAAGCTCTCACAAAAAAATCCCAGAAAATTTAAAAAAGCTTCAATCTAAACTGACCTCAAATGTCATTATTACCATCACAATACATACCCTAACTGCCTCACTAACACCAAAATCCCATAATTTATATTATACCCCATTAATTTTTTTAAGTTTCCCCTTGCTGAACACATGCTACATGTCTTTTCTTCCTCTTGTATGGGGTCGTGTGGCCCTTTCCAATTCTCACTCTATTCCTCTCTTGCCATTTCCATACGCGCAGTTGTGTGTTTTATTCGATATCTGAATTGCACTGGATTGTCTTTTATGTAAAGGTTGCTCCTATCCACATGTTGTTCATCGTTCCTGATGTGTTTGATGCCTCCTCTCTCCACAGAAGAACTGACTTATCAGTTGAGCCTCTGTAAAGTCTGTATAACATGGACAATAAACCACTCATTCCTTAAAGTTGCATTAACGTCAGACTATCGTTTGAAGTAAACGTCTTAATGAGGCCTGATGTGCACAATGAAAAACATTAAAAACTAGTGCCTAGTAATCCTTCATTTCGGTTTCTTTCTGTTACACGCATTTTTCTTGGGAATGATTCAGCCCAATTACAATAGCGCATACACGTCATATATAATAAGTAAATGGATGTGCGTTGGAAATTCCATGCTCTGGTAAACTCTATTACGTATACCTTTGACATCATCCCAGTTACCCTTTCATTTGGGCTAAGTGAAATGTCTTGGAAACTACGAACTCATCCCTACGTTTTGGAGAAGTCACACTCTTGCTTGGAAGTTTCGATTAGTTTATCGTGACGACAAACTGACTAATAATGTAGGTTTTTCCACAAGTATGATCAGAGGGTCTCAGGGTGTTAAGATTATTTCTGAAACCGGTTAAGAAACAAATGAAATATTCCAGGGAATCAGAAAGGGAATGCCAACTTTGAGAACACATTTTTACCCATCATTTAGTTCCCCTCTAACCCTGTTACTTCATGTTTTAAGTGAAAAAATTGATGACTATACAAGAATTGGAACACAAAAACGACCATATGCTGATTGATTTAAATTTTTAATAGAGGCCACACCCATAAGCTAGCCGTCAATTAGGTGGATATTTGCATCGTCTATTGTGAGCATAACGTCTCCTTGACAATCCTGTTTATCGCATTACCCATCCGGAACTGAACCGCTTCATAACATTTATGCACATATAACTTACAGTACACAGGGAGATTCTGTTCATAATCATAATCACCATATTCCAGCTGATTGCCACAATCGTTCATTGTTAACCGTTTAGCACGTTTTCATGAGACTCAAGACGACTTTGCTGATTTCATATTCCAAGCACATTCAATACTCTTGCATTACCGATTAGATCATGGGTTATTAGCGTGAACGTATGATACAGACACCAATGATTCTGAAACAATACAGACCATTTCCGAGAACTACTTCGACGGTACAGAGGGAAGTTACTGCATATGCGAGACAATGCTAGCGACTAATTCCTGAAAATGCCTCATCGCCCCATTAGTGCCAGTGAGCAACACTTTCAGGGCCTCAGAGTAAAGTGTGAGTTGCAGCAGGAGCATTTTTCCGTGGTGCCAGCAACGTGAAACAAATGCTCCCTCCCTACATCAAAATGTTCAGCTTGGCAGTGCTCGATGCGGGAAACGACTGTAGTGATTGAGACGACACGGAGAGGTATAACATCCCGTGTTCCGTGGTGTAATGGTAGCACACCAGACTGGGAAGCAGGAGGTCCAGGTTCAATTCACGGCCGCCCCTCGACTCCTGAGTGCTGCGTCCCTTGCATCAAGTTGCTCAGCAGTCTGCACGGCTCTCCTATTCCGGAGCTCAGCATGCACTGCCTCCTGCTGTTCAGTGGTCTGAGCGGCCCTACGCACATCTGCTTGCTGTTCACTGATGTATAGTTATAGGTAGGACCGATTTAAGCACTTCGCACCGCAACTGCAGTGGCAAACGTCGTTTCTGCGCCTGCACCAACCGTTTTTTACCAGCAACAACTGCCTCATCGCTGTCCTGTGGGACCTCCTTCAATATTTATTCTTCACGTTCAACCTCACTTTGCAAAAATCCCCATTTTTATGGGAGGTGCACCTCGTTTGCGCGACACATTGAGAGATACCTTTTGACTATAATTTTGACTTCATCAATCATAAGAACTTTAATAAATCGGCCATGACATGAAACGCAAACAGAAAACTACTGCTTGAAGCGATGTCCCGAACCGTCACGCCTGACATAACGGAAAATAAATACAGAAGAAAACACTTGACCAATGTATTCAAATGGAGAACTCGCAGTCCATCGGTGAAAACGTGACACGCATTCAGTTATTACCACCTTTTGATTAACACACCTAAATATGAAGCCTATGGCTCAGAATAACTTAACTCAATGGACCTGGCTCTAAAAGCGTTGGATGGCGAAGCCGATGGCCTAGAAAAGCATACTCTGAAGAATCTGGCGCTTTGAGAGGTAAATGGCCTGGCCTTTGGCCTGAAGTGACATAGTCTTGTAGGCCTCGCACGCTGAAATAACAACCACCACCCCAACTTTCGGGCTCTACGAATTAAAGCAATGGAATAGAATAATAGATGGTTTGCAAAGGCGTTGCCTTGTAGGCCTGGCGCTTTAGGCCGTGGATGGCGTGGCCTATCACTCAGAACGGCATAGCATCGTAGGCCCGCGCGCTGGGGGTGACAACCCTGACCTCCACCACAACTTCTGATCTCTTCGAATTTAAATATTAGGTGCGTTTCCTCCACTTCTTCATACTCGTTCAGTGAAATTTTTTTTTTCCCCGATCTGGATACTTCGGGATAGGATACAGGCAAGTAGGCTTTAGAAGTCTGTTCCAGTAGTGGCAGCTCTATCTCCACAGCTACATTAACAAGTCGATCGAGGCAGGGTGGGCAGTAACTCCTTATATCAAATCGTTTTAACCACATCACTGCCACGTTTCGAGAAATAAAAAAACTAGCCCAAGAATATCTCGGAATTGCAATTCAAAGGGTCAAAATAAACTGCAACACAGATCACAAGTCGTCGCAGGAAACCAATATGGCTGAGACCATCTATGAGCCTTGACTCTTTATATTTCCTTCATATTTGGAATCATCAACGTTACTCTATAATAAACTCAATCTTATTTCCTCTTAAGATTATCCCAATCAATGGGCGCAATAGCGCCATTTACCCTTCAATCCCGTTCCCGTGGAAAATTTCAGCCTCCACGCATTTCTCTATGACAGCATCAACAGTAATGAAATTTGACATGATTCTACCTTTCTCATCAAAGAATTACTCCAGCAAATTTGAACTCCACCTCTCTGGCGTTATGCAGATCAATGAATCCGTTTTCGTAAGATGTGAATTTTATTTGGTTTCCCCCTAGCTGGGGAGCCATTTCTTGGGGGTTGTCAGAGGAAGGACACCAACCATAAAAATATATTGATTCGTAGATAACGAAAAGTGGCCTTTTCGTTGTTTGCGATGCGTCATTTCCTCATAAAATGGAATTAAGCCTAAGTGAACGACAGCAAGACTGCTGGCCCCAGTTCGTCCCCAATTGTTGATTAATGTCGTGCTGGAGTTATGTTACATTTAAAACTGCTTCGGTCTTCTTTTCATTGTCTGGATCTTCTATTTCTTAACGTATGGGGCACTTTAGCGCTGAGTTCATGTGACGAGTCGGAAATCTGTGGTGAAATATAGATATATCCTTTCCAGCCATCACAGAATGCCATCACGCCACAGCCTGGACGAGCACTATTGATGGCTAAACAGTGCAAATCATTTTGTGGCGTCTTTGTAATGAATTTCTTGAAACCGATCTATGAAACGGTAGCATGCAATTTGTCTTCATACTTTGTATTCCTCAGTGTGAACGGCTACATCTCGTGCCACTTTTTTCTGTTTATGCTAGGGGGGACTGGCTTGGAATCGTGCTCTTATAACTCCATGTTGTGCAAGAGGTGATTTGTTAAGACATCCACAACATTTAGTTTTGCAGGTCTGCTTATGCGGCTCCCTGTTGAGATGCGTTCTGTATCGAAAATGAAGAAATGTCTCTACATTTTCACCATATGCTGTCCGATTGTTGTAGTTTTTATTTATTTAATTCTGCTGTTACTATCAACAAGCAATTATGCACTGGGTCGGATGTTTGCAATCACGACAAACTTGCTGCGACAGTGGGCACACCTATGTATTACTGTCGTTTACAACGGACTCAAAAAGGAAGGCAACGACTTAAGTTAATTCCTAGTGCAGAAGAGAATAATGGAAAGTGAAAAAGCTTAGCAAAATCACAAGATTTTGCAGAATTTTCAGAGTGCGACAAGAGGACAGTGGATATGAGAAAACTACAACAGCAAACATGGCTGTTCCAATCACAAGTTGACAACAATAGTACCAATATCTGAGAATACTTGTCCATATATTCCTAGGGGACTGGTAACGGAAGCAGAATTGTGGAGATAGCAAAGTGCCGAGATTACCCCTACGGCCGACATCCGCAGCACTAATGGCCTCATCCACACCAAACATTTTTCTATGCAATATTTCTTTGCAAGTCGACTTGCAAAGGAAACTTTCATGAGGACGTTTTTGAAACCATTATATGCAATATCTTTTCTATCCGAGTCCTCTTTAAAGGAGACCTTCGAGAGTAAAAACTCAGTCTACTTTTCTTGCATAGTAGGTGGAAGATTCCAGTCTCGAAAATGGAGAGGGTCAGGGAAAAGACTGTAGAGTTGCATGATGAATATCAAAATGAAGAGTAGCTTTGGAACGTGAGATGTGTCCCGTACAAGGAAAGAAAGCAAGATGCTGGCCCAATCTTACAATGGAACTTGAAGTACCGGTGGGTGGTAAAATTCGAAAATTTGTCATTTTGCACGTTACAATGTCCTGGTAATCAATCTCCAAGTTTCATGCATCTCTGAATTATTATTCCTTTTTCATTGCAATTATTAGGGTTAACTGGTAAAATGAACACGCTGTACAAAGCATCAAAACTTCCGGGATGATGAACATGGCAGTCACGCGGCAGAGACTTTCGGTAGAGCCTGGTTTCTCTTTTTTTTTATAAAGAAGGATAGCGACGACTAATCCTGCCACACGTTGTTTCCTTGTGAAGAGAACCAACTTGAATACATCACTTTGATAAACATCGGCATGGAGAACACTCTGACGAAGGAAAATCCTTGCAGAAAGAACTTTCGAAAACGTCCACGCATGAAAGTTTCTGGTGTGGACTATCTCTGAAAGTTTTTTTTTTCAACGTTTTCTTTGCAATACTCTTTCATTGTCTATGCAAGAATGCTATCCTGTTCTGGACGAGCCTTATATCATCTGATGATATGGCGCCTGGTAAAGTC